CACACACACACACACACACACACACACGACATAGCAAAACAAAGCGAAAAACAAAACAAAACACTGACAACAAAAAACCAATGACAAAAACAAAACAGAAAACCTGTAAATAGTTCAAGGTTTGTTTGTTGACCTCTAGGAGTCTCCTTCAGTCAAGTTCCATGGGGTGCCACGCCCTGGCCCCAAAGTCTATCCTTGGCACTCCCTCAGGACCTCCCTGCTCTGCCACACGCCTTTAGTGTTTTGCCTTGGTGTGGTGGGTCAGACCAGGCACAATCCCAACACTGTCTCCAGTGTTGTCCCCTGTAGGGCTGTGGGTCAGCGAGGGACGTCATGTCTTATGGGGCTGGCCATATGGTCCTCTCTGTGCTTTGGCTCCTCTGAGCAGGGATATCCTTCTCCAGGCTTGGTGGGCCAGGATGCGCTCCACTCTCTCTTCCTCCCCCTTTTGCTTCAGTTTGCTCTGATCAGACATGTCCCTCTCCCGGAGCTGAAGCTCCAGTGCTGTCCTCTAAAGTAAATTCTTTTGGGGGGAGGGGCAGCTGTCCACATAGTTGGGATTGGGGCTGGACCCTCAGACGCCTCCACTGGCTCCCCACTCCATGCCGGCACATCCTGGAACACTGGGTTTAAGATGCCAGCATGCCGCAATCACATCCCGGAACTGGGTTAAGTATGGTCTCTCTTTCCCTGTGGAGATATAAACAATACTCTCCCCTTGGGGTACACTTTTATAGCATGGAAGTTGCTATCGGTACAGGTTGGAATTAAACCACCGTTTGAACAAAGTGCTATGTTGTATACACATTCCTGGATTACAGTGAATGCTGTTGCTAAATTTATCTAAGTTTGTACCTAAATTACAATGGTTACTTAGGTACAGTTGGTCTGCTAGTCAAATATTTGTCTTAGTATAGCATAGTATGCTATATAGTATATAGCATAAACCTTTTTTTTATATATATAGTGTACCTTTCTATGCACTAAACCAATTAAAGAAGCACTTCCAGATGCACTAAAGCATCGTTCACATAGTACAAGTCATTGCCGTGCAGTCAGTTCCGACCAGAGGCACCCTGTAGGCAGGATAGAACTGCCCTTGTGGGTTTCCAAGACTAACTCTTGACATGAGTAGAAAGCCTCCTCTCTCTCCCTCAGAGCAGACGGTGATTTGGAACTGCTCTCTTTGTGGTTAGCAGCAGACATGTATAATCCATTAATAATAAGGTTTTGATGTGCATCACAAAGAAGTGTCAGTTTGTACCAGGATCCATTATGTGTACCTTGGAATTTTTAATGTAGTAGGCTTTATGGGGGTGGCTCTTAACTAGTGGGGACTGTAGATAAGTCAGATGTTGGTGGCCTAGACACTGCCTGTATCTAGTTTCTTTCTGGCTACAAAACCTTGAAAATCAAGAAACAAATACTCTCAACTGGGGAAATCAATGATGTGGTACAGAACGAGCCCTGGGCTTGACCAGAGACCATGCCTAAGTTCTTCCTAGAATCTTTCTACAACCCTTTCTTCCTCCTCCTCTCCCTCTCTTCTGCCTTTCCTCCTCCCTTCTCTCTCTCTCTCTCCTTCTCCAGGTGTACAATATATACACATTTATATAAAATGAATCCAAGAGATTTGGTTGACATGTGGCAAGACACATCTTTATATATATTTAAAATATCGGTATTGGACCAGATGATCAAGTGGAACCTTTTGAGGTCTAACATTCTTGTGTAGAAGCCTTTGCCTTGTAAATATTGGTTATTCACAATGATACAAAATTACCATTAGATTTCAACAAGTACCATTACTGCTCTAAACGCAACCACCCTATGCAGGCAGGTACACATAACCCCCATTTTGTCCATGAGGCATCCAAGACTGCAAAAGGTCTACTCATTTCCTCAAAGTACCACGACTTACGGAGCTGAGCCCCAAGTGTTAGTCTTCCTCCCCCTGCACCCTAGCTGAGTGCACTGCAGTATTCCCCGAGCTGTGGCAGACCCTGCATGGAGGCCTGAGCCTCTGCCAAGGATCCTACTCCGTTCCAGTACTTTATTTGGGGCTAATCCCATCATTAGCTTGTCCAATATGGAAGGATGAAGTTGAGAGCCAGGAAGTAAATACATTTCAGGGCTTTATTTGACGAAAGTCTACTGTGACTGATGCATCGGCTATGGGGATGGAGGTGGAGGTGGAGGTGGTTAATCTCGCTGAGGTTGCGGTTTCCAAAACTATAATAGATAAAAGTCAGTGGTTAAATTGCATACTGGACCAACATTTCCCTGATTGTCATACATCTGCCTGTCAAGGTTAGTGTCCGCCTTGATGAATGCAGATACGTACACCTCCCTCCCAGCCACTCTCCTGGACTCTGACGTCAGCCATCGACTGTGTGTGATGAGAGAGGCAGGGAGTTCACATTTAAAAGACATTTAATTTCATAAAATACAGAGACTCTTAGGAAAGAGAGTATTTCAGAATGAAGAATGGGTCTTTATATAGAGTAAGTTTTGTTTGTGAAAGATCATTACATCATCTCTGGCTTCTCCGTTTCAGCCCAGACTGGTGAAAATGTTCATGGACCAGTTTTGGGAATCAACATAGGTGCAGACAGGAGTTTATAAGCAGGGAGGGGAACAGCCCTCGCTTTCAGAGTTAAAGGCTATTTTCATAACTGGAACTGACTATACTACAGTTACTTCACACCAGCTAATTAGGACCACAGAAACTGCGTGCACTGGCGATAGAAGAGAAGTGAAAATGCAGTTATCCAAACATGAAGATCAAGAAAGAGAACTCCTGAGCTGTTTGATGTGCCTGGTGCCTGGCACAAAAGGCCTGTCACAACCCAGCCTCAGCCTAAAAGCCCAAGTTTGAACCTCATCCCTGCGCCAGGACAGAGGTATGACGCCACGAATCTTAGAACGCCGTGCCTTCTAATCAAATCCAGACACCTTTGAGCAGCCAGAAAAGCCCAACCTCCTTTGGTCTCCAGGTCAAGAAGCCTTCCTGTCACTAGCCTCCGTGTTGTTAGTTGTGTCAGGTCTGTTTTGACCCCTGGCGACCTCGTGTAAGGAGTCGAACTTCTCCACAGGTTTTTCACGGCCCTGCCTTCAGAAGCAGATTGCCAGGTCTGCCTTCTGAGGCACCTCTGGGGGCATTTGAACCAACAACCCCTTGGT